ATGTGTAGCATTTCCAGTTATTGACTAGTTAAGGTTTACAGCAGTTATTATTTCGTTGTTATGAAATCGGCACATCATTGTTTGGACCTCTAAATTTTAAGTAGCTGATGTATTCATTTATTATGATTTTTTTTTAAATCATAATTTCTTTCTTCATCTTTAAATTATTCTGAATTCTATTAAATTAAAATTTATTTGCAGTAAAAAATATCAATTAAATACTATTAATGTTTCCCATTATATTAAAGAAGAAAGAATTTTTCTTAACTCAAGAGCTATGATAATTTATCTAGGGTTATTTAAAGGTCAATTTTGAAGATACCAGTTATGCAGTTACACAACATGCAACGAGATTGAAAACAAATAGATTTGATTTTATTTATTCTCATAAAACATTTGCTTGCTTAAATTATTAGTTCTCACAGTGGATTAAGAATATATAACGAACTTGCAAATATCTTTTCAAATGAATCTTAATTTGTTGGTCTATTACAACAATTAAGAGACCAATTCAATTATGTATTTGATAAACAACATTTACTTGGGATTAAACGACTGAAGTATTTGGTGATTCGGTATTTAAATAGACGAGAGAGAAACTATTGACTTTAGAAAGCGACAAAAACAAAAACAAAGTGTAATATGAACTTGCAAATAATTTGAAACCTCCTGAGTGATACTCAGAAATTCATAAAAACATAAAAATAAATTTAGATAATTATTCTTCTACATTTTGATCTCGATGGACTTTATGATATTGTATTTATGTAAATTTCAATTTTAATTTTCACATCAATTTATTGACTCATTTTAGGAAATTAATAAGAAATAAAAAATATAGAAGAGTTATAAAGTTAATAGATGTTTGCAAGGGATATCTATAATAATATAACATTCTATTGATATCTTTGATATAAAAATTAAATTAACTAGAAATTAGTTTAGAATAAGCCATTTGATTTTTAAAAAATCAATAAAAATGAATGATAAATATAGATAATGGTGTTTATTAAAATGATGCTTATTCCATTAAGAAATTGCTTGAAATTAATCACCACTAATTTTCGATAAATAACTTTGAAAAGTTTCTTAAGTTAGGTTCCTCAATTTTTCAGAAATCAAATAAATATTGTTGTTTAATAATGTGCTAATTATTATAATAAAGCCTTCCATTTCAATATCACTTTAAAATTAGAGATTTAAAACTAACTTAAATTTTAATACAAACTATTTGCTGATTGATAAACTAAGCTAAGAGGTTATTTAATTACTATATTTTGACTGAATTTAAATGGTGAATATGATAATTTTGGAAGATTGACTTTAGGGGAATTTGATTGGACGTGTTGGAGAAAATTCTTAAAATAATTGCCACTTTAAATGATTTGAGAGTCCTTAAACCTGATGGGAAGGAATATAATATATATTCAAGCAACATGAAGTCATTTTTGTCTAATTATTCACTTTGTTTCAAGGTCATAGAGAACTTATTATTTCAAAAAGAGGTAATCAGCCTCTTTAAAATTAGCTCATAACTAAATATATCCTATGAAAGGCCTTTTTCCATGTTTTTTTAAAAACACAAGGTTCTGTTAAAATATATTATCTCCTATTTATGATAATCAAATAAACGATCTAATTTATTCAGATACCTGATAATTTTTCATAATAATTTAATTAGTGGTTGAACAAGCCAAATTGATAATTATTTCTAACATGAAATATTGAGTTTTTGTTCTATTAATTCTTCAAACTAATTTGTAGAATCCTGAAATTTGAAATGAGCTTCCTTTCAAAATCCTGTGATTATACTCAATAAAATTAATAAATAATATAATATAGTTATTATTTCTTATTTAGAATGAACGAATTAAATCTTATTATTTTTATTACAGATGAAAAAGTAGCTCTTTATTTGCCAAAAGCAAATATTAGGACTTTGCCTCAATAAGAATTGCTATAAAGAAATTTAATATTGCACTAAATGCTTAACTTAGGTTCATTCAGATCATTTAACTGATTGTATTGAATTTGCCAGCGAATATCAATCAATTCTTAGAATTTGAGAAGAATCATTTTAATAAATCAAAAAAATCTTCAATTATATGAGAAAACATTAGAAAGTATGAAACTAAATCTTGAGCATGAATTATATATGCCTTTTATGTCATAACTCAGACTATTTAAACAATATTATTCAAGAGAAAAAGAGAAAACGATATGTATTAATTTGAGCAATTTCTTTAGAAAATAAATAATCGAACTCAATAAAGTTCTAAATACCATGGAATATATCGCAGCACATAAACCGAAATTCGATACTTAATAAAATGAAAATTGGGGTAGATAGGAGGTCAGGTTGAGAAAATTGCTTTACGATAAAGCTATTTCAATAAATTAAAATAATGAGCATGCATGGTATAATAAGGGAAATAAACTTAAAATATTTCTAATTAGGTTCTGCATTAGATCTTTTAATTTATACCAATAATCTATTGAGTGATACGATAAAGCCATTTCTATAAATCCTAAGAATTATAATTCATGAAACAACAAGGGTAATGAAGTTTAACTTAATTTTATCTAGGTTCGCATTAGATATTCACTGATTCGGTCAATATGTATATATAGATAAGATAAATATAAAATAGCTATGAGTGTTATAACAAAGCTATTGCTTTTAATCCAATATTGATATTGCATGGAATAATAAAGGGAATAAAATTTGATTATTTTTATTTTGGCTTGGCACTATAACAATTAAAACAGTATTAGGATGCTATTTTGTGCTTTGTCAAAGCCACTTTCATCAATCCTAAAAATGAATATGCATGGAAAAATTAAGTTTATAATCTTTCAATATATTTTTTCTTTAGGTATAACTTAAACTGTTTAAATAAATATAAAGAAGCTATTGTTAGTTGTGAAAAAGCGATTTCTCTAAATCCTAACAATGATCATGCAATTGTGTACAAAGGTTTAATTTTTCTTAAGTTAGGATTTGCGCTAATTCAAAAACTACACAAGATTCCACTATATTAGTTAAAAAAATATTAGGAAGCATTATTGTGCTATAATACAGCTCTTTCTGGTTCTGTTCATCATATGAAATTAAAACTGAAAGGTATTATTTCTTAATTATTTCAAGCTGATTCACTAAAATTATTAATCGAAATATTAGCAATATTCGAATTAGGATTGAAATCATAAGCTAAATTTTTATTTTGCTGCTTTACTTCAAGGATCACCAGAATCTGAATATATACATGAACAATTATAATAGTGTTGAAATAGATAAATATAATTATTCAAATCATTTCTTATATGATAAATTATAAATCGATTAGTTAATCACAAAATTAATAATTAAATTAATAGTATAAACACTAAATTTTAATAAAGTTTAAAAAAGAACTATACTATTTTATTTAAATTTGATTCAATATTCATCAAGACTCATTAATATTCGATTGCCCTTACTAAGGTTTGTATTTTAAGTATTCATTTTTCTAAAGTATTTTACTATATCAAAAATGATATAGATTCGTCAATGATTATAATTTTATAATTTCAATTACCTATATTAATTCCAGACACTACATTTTATTATAATGGTGTTATTATAATGGTGTTATTTTTTGTTGTTCATTCTTATAATAATTTGTTTCTCAAATGTACAGTATAAAAGGGATTGACTGTGTTGGAGATTTTGATTCAAGATGTGATCAGTTGATAAAATTGATTGAGAAATTTAAAATGATTACATTTCTACTTAAATTAATTATTTTATGCTTAAAAAAAGTAAAAACAATCCTTGATCCTCTAATGTTTTACTTGTTATTAATTCATTTTATTCAGAGCAAATATCTTTAACTATCAACAGTAGGTTATATTTATCGTATGTTTTCTGGACAAATTTCTCTCCCATTAGCTGATCACACCAAAAGACTTCAATGAGATAAACAGCAAACCTATAATCATCCATGCATCAAATACATCATAGCCTTCTTGATAACCTAAAAGCTTAATTCCTATCACTTTACAAGGTATCGAATCTAGAGCAATAATACAAAGGAAATGTAACACTTTCTTTTCTCCAGCTCCTTCAAAGTTGTTAATTCTCTGTACTGATAATTTAACATCTCTTTTTAGCACCACCAAGAAGTTCGAATAAGCAATTCTGCTTAATCTCTAAAATAGATGTCTGCATACAAAGTATGGATGTTTAGAAGTGCAAATTCTTTTACATATTGCTTCTCTCTGGTGTGTCTAAGAAATAAATGAAATCCCTCATAGACTTCCTAGCGTGATTATAAAATACTTTAAGACTAGAAAACAATAATTCTGATTTTATTGCCATTTTAGCTACATTATTGCTTTTTTCTATCATGAATTTATCTCTGTGAAATTGCAAAAGAAAGCTATTGCATAAAACAAAAAGTTCATGTAAATTGGATTTTATATGCCAAAAATTTTATTATCATAAAATATAACTTTAGAAGTTAAAAATTAAGACCATAATTTTTGGAAAATAGTATATGTCTAAAATCTCTTTCGTTTGGCCGTCCATTTCGTTTACTCAAAAGCATCCTTTATATTTTAAAATAGTTTATAGTTATTATTCTTCGATATGTTTAACTACGCTACAGATGTTTCAATCCCCTCATCTCACTACTTGTCCAGTTTGCCTTTCAAGATCAACTTATTTCTTTCAGTTACTTCCTAATACCACACCTCTTCATATTTCTCCTAAATATCGGCAATGAATCTCCAATTTGAACATATTCATCCATAGATGAAGTAAAGATCAATTCTAACTAATTATTAAGTATATTTATTTACCTTCCATTAGTCACTTTGATTAAATATCACTGATTTCATACAAGTGAATTTATTTCACTTGTGTATTATCACTATGAATCTTAAGGTTCCCTCTGTCGCTCTTAAGAGTTCCTCATTATTAGAACACTGATGAATCTGTTTGAGTATACAGATCATTTCTTAGAATAAATTGAATTTTTTAACAAAACTAACCCCATTTCGTGACCTCCAACTTTGGATTGACAATTATTTATGTTTAGCCTATTACCCATCATCCTCTAATTGTATCTTCTTTCCTTAATTATTTCCTCAAAATATTTTCTTGAACAACATTTGGATTTATCACCTCCATAATCCTTTAAATATTCCATAATTATTCTTATTCCGCGTGTTTTCATCATATAAATCTTAAAATCACATTATCATCTGGTCATGATATTTCAATTTAATTTTAATTTAAATATCTAAAGAGAATTTATACTAAACAGCATGAAATTACTAAATAATGAGAACATTAATGTTCAAGAAATCTTCATGAAAAAGTATTTGGACAACTACTTAGTGTGTTAAATTATTATACATTACTTAAGAGAGAGCAAACAATGAGCCACTTTGGACAATATTTTTGGAGGATAAGGCCAGTTAAGGTTGACTGATACAAGTTAAGGGGCATAATTTAGTATTAACAATATGATAATTCACAAGAATTCATGAAATTGGGATCTGCTTTTACATTTTGTCATGTTCTGAAAGTCAAGCCTAACAAGAAAACACTTTTTAGCATTAGATAACTAGGTTTGTGCTTGTTTAGGCAAATAGGAGTTTAACTTTATTAAAGTGAATTTTATTTAGCCCCCTACACAAAGAATAATTTGAACTAATTTGATATTGATTATATAATTGTTTATTTATTTTACTTCCGTAACTTAAAAGATAATGAGTCTATGGGCCTTAAACAATAATTTAGTTAAGTATCAATTGAAATAATATATGCCTCACGGTGATATCGTAAAATACAATAAATGCTGATAATTTTAAATATTATTCTTAACATCAACTTCTTTTTGACATTATACTCTATCGCTAATGACTGCTCAATAACTTAGATTAATCATTATTATCAAATGCAATTTACCATAGCAAGAAGTCACAGTTAGTCTTTAAATATATACTTTTTGAGTATCATTCAGCATAACCTCTATACTGATAGTTCGCTCTGTTGAATGTTTAGCGAATATTAATATGCAGAGCTTTCACAAATATAGGGGTGGTTAGGTTCATTTTTTTTAAATTCAAGATAAGTTTAAAATGGGTTACCAAATAAGAGTACTCAGAATTACTAGAAATCTTTATTCTCACTTTTAGAGAAGGAATTCTTTAACACAAAAGAAATTCGTTTTCTCTTATTTTTTCTTCCTATTTTTTGTCAAAAATATCATCAGTTAGTTTAGTGAGGCCTTCCCCTAAAGGTTAAAACTTCTATAGAAGTTTTTTCCTGTTCTAATTAAAAGCATGTTATCTAAAAAAGTGATTTCATCTACTTTTGGAATAAGTGTAGAAGAAAGAAGTACTTAATTGAATTGAGGATAATCAATTCTTTTGGTGAAAGAGTTGGCATTCAGATTTCTTAGTGTACCCTCCTATGTATTTTAAGTGTTGGTTTAAACTCAGTACCTTTTTCAAAGGGATTCTTTAAATTGACCCTTTAATTTACCTAAATAAAGAGAGAGGACTCTAGTCCAATCTCGCAGGCATCATTAAGCTGGTCAATAAATTATCTCTGTATATAAACCATAATATGATCGTCATTCCATTTCGATGAATGGATGTATCTATAATTAATTCAGAATTACTGAAAAGCACCAGGGATTCCCTAGAGAAAACACCATTACTAAAGATAATTCTTCCAGTTTGCCATTTCCTGATTATTAATTTCTTAGATTTTTTATTTATTAAAGCCTTTATGTTATCATATATTTCAGTTGATTTCGATGATTGATTATATATTTTTTATGAAAAAGTAAAATTCAAAATGTTTGCCTTTATTTAAATATCTTTTCTCTTTGTAAATTCTTCTTTAAGTATTTTGAGCTAGTCCCCTGATTCAATCTACATTGTACTTTTGGGTCTTTAAAATTAATATTATCAGTGATGCATAGTGAAGTACCATCCGTTTAGTTCAGCTGCGATATATTTGAAAAGTGTCGACTCTACTCTATCTTCCCACTAATTTTAATTTTCCTCTTCTAATCCAAACTTGTTCTATAACATCTTCACCCCAGCCAGGTTGTAACTATTAATGACATTAGGAGAAGTAAGTCATCACTAACGAGCATATGATTATTTGCTTTTATAATTTGTTCTAGATGTTGCAAAGATATTTGGAGAGTATTAA